ATTTGGAAGAGTCAGCATTTTTTGAAGACCTGTCACAGTCTTATCGACTCATCTTCTATTCCGTTGAAAGTTTTTTTTCTCCCCTAAATGTTTGTTCAGGTTCGTGAACGGCATGGTGTATTACGGGCTGTCACTGAGTTCGGGAGAATTTGGAGGAAGTATCTATTTGAATTTTGTTCTGACGAGTTTGGTAGAAATCCCTGGAAATATTCTGGTTATCCACAACTGTAACAGGTACTAGGACGGTTTAGTAATAATGAACAGAATTTTTGAGGACAAATAGGTCAAACTTCTGCGCATGATCGAACTTTGAGGCACCCTGTTATTGTGTTCCTGTCAGCTGGTAGATCAACAAAATGGCTGCGATAAAAGCTTTTTGTTAGAATAGTCTTGAATTTTTTTTTCTGCCTTTGTTCATCAGTCCTCTCTCAGATTTCTTTAAATGTTGATCGACAGCCAATGCCTCTTTTGTTTTTGTTTAGTATTTTGTGCTAAATCTTGTTCTGAAGCCGCCCAAAACCGATCCTCTTGTGCTTGATTATTCTATGGATGACCGACGTTTGACCGCTCAGTCACTTTAAAAAGATTGATTTGATGACCAGCCGCTGCTCGGCAATTGAGCCCACGCTCGTTCCCGAAGACTCTTTACTCAAGGAGGAAGAGATTCCGGAATGGGCTGGGGAGAGCCAAATCGAGTCTATTGAAAAGAATTCTTCCAACTTTTTTCTCACTAGATAGGAAAGATCTTTTAAAACTAACTTGTTCTTTTTCCAGGTTTGGTCGTCGGAAAACGTTGGTAGCTTACATGGTTCTAGCAGGAGTCACTGTGGTGGCTGTTTCCTTGATCCCAAATGGCACTAATAACACAGGTACTTAAGACCCGAGGATATATTTTATACTGATATCAGTTTCAATTTCTCGTGAATATTCACCAACCATTTAGTCTGTTTCTTCCCAGGTTACATCGCTGGTCGAGTGACGCTTGGCACTCTGGGTAAACTCTGTATTACTACTTCTTTCAACGCCATTTA